GGCTAGTTCTTAATCAGATGCAGTCCAAGTCATTCCGCCCCTCGAACTTGGCATATCCTCTATGTTAAGCGCTCGTATTCTGTATGCTATTGAACCGAGTTCTTTGAAGTAGGGTCAGTTCCGAGACCGGTAGTGTTTAGAAGAAGTTCGAGTGCGGTGATTGTACTGTATTGTAATGACTTATGCAAGCAACTGTGCATACATTTCAGTCAACCGGCTATAATCAATGCCTCATTGGATCCAGATGTGCTGTTGCCAAATTCGTTATGTGCTTTGCACTTTCAAAGTGCAAATTGATTCTGCAGGACTGAGTGTCGTCTACTCCCTCTCTAAATGGCTAAGAATTAGTTATGGTGAATTACATTTCGTACTTGGGTAGTTGCGTGACCAATGACGGAAGCGCAGCATTTCTCATGCTCGAGCAGCATACGCACGACTGAAACACCTTTGGCGTAAATGCGACGTTTCACTGAAGTTGAAAGGTCGTGTATATTGTGCTAGCGTTCGTCCAGTCCTACTTTATGGTTGGGAGACCCTGAATTTTCCAGTAGAAGATATCCATCGACTAAAAGTTTTCGAATGTTGGTGTTTATGTAGTTTAACTCATGTGGGATGGATCAAACGGGTTAGTAGTCTGGATGTAAGCCGTCGTGTTTGGAAGTTTATCAGGTATAAACCTGCTAGCACATCGAATTCACATGGGTAGACTTCACTGGTTAGAACACGCATTGCGTATGTCCAGCTACCGTCTACCACATCGCGCCTTAATCGCTCCGGGCTAGAGGAAACCACGTGGAGGTCAACAGATGACGTGGAGTCGAGGCATGAAGAAATGCACAGAGCCATTAGGTACAGTAGGTGTCACACGCGTTCTAGGTTGAAGTCCGAAAGACTCCACAACTGGCTGGTTGGGGACATTGGATATGGCAGCGAACTGACAGCAGTGGCGTTCTTTTTGTCAATTCTTATCAGGCCAGGCAGTGGCGTTCTTATCAGACCAGAATGCTTGAAACCGTATGTATGCAGAGTTCAGTTGCGCACTCTGTGTTGACAATAGGGATTCACCTTTTTCCCCCTCCCTCAAAGTAGATCCCACCTCTGTCCACCTTGAATTTTACCATTAACGTTGTATGCATTGGGAGTTTGGCAGCGAACAGTGATGTTCACCTCACTGTATTTCGCTGTACGATGATGATGATTATGATGACCCAGAGGTGATAAGGTTAAACCTCATCCCGTTAGCCGAACATTTCCCTTCTCTGTGTGTCTGTGTTTGTGACCAAGTAGCACCCGAGCGACTGCGTGTAGTCCCCGTTTTTGGGTAGTGGAAAGTACAATTCTAGTAGATAAAATCAGAAGAATGCGGATGGTCCTATAATAACGTGCAAACGAAATGTGAAAATCTTAACCAATGAAATAGGTTCTTGTGGTTGGCTTTGGACCTCTCTAAAGAATCCCGATTTATTTTTGAAGGTATCCAGTCACTCTTTTTCTCATTTTGTTCAGTGATTAATTAGTTGTTACTTGTCGAAAAGAAACAAAGCCGTTATGCATAATCATACCAGTATATCATACTGTAGTGATTTGTTTAAGCAACTATGCCTCATTATAATCGAAAAACTGTGTGCCGTTACATTGAAATAAAAATGATGAGAGTCATATAAAACAAGAATAAAACGTAAACAAAAGATCCTCTTTGAAGATTTACGCTCCTATCTGTTAGAGTGCGATTTGAGGTACTGGTTAATTACAATAAATGTTTATACAAAACTATAGGTTACGAAAAATGGATCTGGTTGGGGCATGAAAACAGATCGAAAGCAAGTGGATGTCTGGGACCGATTAGCATCTTATGGTGGAAATTCTCAAATGAATTGATATGAAAATCACGCTTTTTATCATCAGAGTGTTTATAGTAGTAAGAGAAACACGGCTAATAATTTTCAAGCAGCGGTGGACAGTGATGAAACCCTTTTTGTGTAGGCCAAAAAACCGTGAAGTATGTCAGAAAAAATGCTTGGATGGAGAAAGGAACATAGCCAACTGCGAATACTATAGGAGTGACGGAATGCCTCGGTTACGTTCACAGTGTGAATTGTTTCAGCTAGGTGTGCAGCCATTTCACTGATGAACGATCGAGAATTTCAGTGTTCAGGCATGTAAGGTATGGTTCACGAGTGCGTTCGGACAATCGCCCAAACTTTCGGTCCATGTGCGTTGTTCCCCAGGAACAAGTAAATGAATATGCACAGAATGAGATGACAGAGTTCGGGATTTTGTCTCAGTCCTAAGCACATATTCGGCGTGTATGTAAACAAAAACGTTGAGGCTTGTCATGTATACAGTCATCCTGACAACATCTGATAACCTCCTTTGTAGTGGATCGATTGATTTGTCCTCCCTTGAACGACAAGTCAATGTATACCTGCTTCCCCCTAATTTCTATCTTCTTTGAAGGATTCCCACTGCCTCGAATTATTTTACAGTCCAGGCGTTCTGGATACCTATAGCGTGCAAAGTTAGATCTTGCAAATCGGCTCTCTTCTCTTGTATCTTCACGACAAATGTTCCCTGTCCTATCTGCTAGACAACACAGCATATCCGTTTTCACTCTTAGTGGTACAAAGCTGTGAAAATGTGTGTAATGACCTCTGCAAATTGTGCTCTCTTACACTGAGTCATCAAGTCACCGAGTCATCCAATCGGCAGCTCACGGAGACGTCTGGAAATGCCACTTTGTTGTTGTTTTCCGTTTCTCAAGTGGAGCTTATGCATTTGTGTAGTACATGCCGGTTTGCCAAAGGAAGTCTTTGGCGAATTTCATCCTGTGCTGTTCCCATGACTGCAACGCGACTGTGAGGTTTTTGAACGACCATGAGGAACATCCACCGAGATGGTGAAGGTACGGCATTCTAAGACCCACGTTGAAAGATTGAGATCATCTTTGGGTTGTACTCCACTCTGTATCGCCGAATGCGAGGGGACTTGATGTTGGCCTATCAAATTCGGTAGATCCCTGGCCATCCATTTTG